AATACAAAGTAAAATAAGTTTACCTAGTAAGGCTCATAAAATTGGGGAAACAAACTTCATGATCTCAGTAAAGAAGGTGCGAACAACTTATGCAATGGAAACATTCCAGAGCCGCTCTGATGAGAAACTCATTTTCTTTCAACCTCCTGTTGATTAGAATAATCTAGTGTGATTGGCAATTAACATCACTGGATGCTCAGAGAAAGCCATAGATTCCGAGATCTCTAATTTAGCAGATTAGCACGTAGATCGCTATCCCACCAGCACGCGTAATGCAGAAAATGATGTTCATTACTCATTTCGGATGAAGAAGGTCCACATAGTAGAGGTAATCCAATACAAAAAAATCGTTTCCATTTTTGGCCTCCGATTACAGGATTAATGGTGCACAGAGGAAGTGATGAGTGAAATTGTACTAATAAACCAACCTCCTATAGCCGTGGTGAGGGTAACTCCAGAGACCGAACCAGCCAAAGCAGCTCCCCCAATAAGCAGTGAGAGGGGCAACATCGGATTGTCTAGACTTCCTTCAGTTGCAAGAAAGGCTGCAAGACCAGCAGTGGAGATACCAACAAGACTTGCATTTAACGCATGCCTCATTGGAAGAATGAGAGGCTTTGAATTCAAGATTCCTAAAAGGAAGATTGGCACGATAAAGTTGAATACCAACAAATTGGATTTAACACTAGTGGCAACGCCCAGTTGCCAATCGTTGCCAGATTTCAAGAAGAAGAAGAAAGGGGACCTGTCGTTCAAACTACAATAACTATCCTTATAAAGAGGTGTGTGTATGAGTGAGATAAATACTTTGTTATCTAGCAATAGCAACGATAATTACCTCAGAGGTGACCTTAAGTAGAAATCCAAAATTTGATAGTGGAGTGTGAGTATGCCCCGAGTACACGAAAATGATTCAATTCGTCTTCTTATCTAATTGGAACTTAAATTTAAGCCTTGCCATTTTATTACATTGCTAGGTATCAACAATCATCAGCACGGAGCGTGCGATAGACTTACCTCCACGTGGTGCACTCTGGGCAACGTATACTCATACGGCGAAAAAGTCTATTAACCGGCAGTTGACTACGATAGACTTACCTCCACGTGGTGCACCCTGGGCAACGTACTTTCTTACGGCAAAAATTCTATCACTCGGCATTCGTTTTTCAATAGACTTACCTCCACGTGGTGCACCCTGGGCAACGTATATTCATACGGCAAAGTCTATTAACTGGTAGTTGACTTCTCCGCATACGGCAAAAAAGTCTATTAACCGGCAGTTTTCTTCTCACTTCAAACTACCATGACCCCCCTATATGTCCTACATTCTCATACGGCGAAAAAGTCTATTAACCGGCAGTTGACTCCTCACTTCAAACTACAATCACCTCACTATATGTCATATTCGACTTCTTCCTTAGTACTCACCTCACCTTTTTCTACCTTTGTGCCTGTCTCTTTTACATCTTTGAAACACTCTTCTATCCCCCCCCCCCTCTCGACTTTTTTCACTTTGATGTAACTTCCTCTCTGTGAAGCCTAGAGTCAACTAAAGGGCTAATGATAACCATCAAGACGCTTGCCATTTGATATAAAACAATCATCAGCAATAGTATGCCCAAATTTATTAATTTTTGTACCTTGAAGTTTGCCGAAGGCAATGAGGGATCCAGTGAATGTGATACCACCAATCCAGGTGCCAAGGTAAGCGACAGTTTTCATTAAATTTCCGGCTCCGCAGAGGTCTGCATTCGAAAAGAGTATGGGCGCTTCAATGATGTAGTTGGAAATGCAGGTAAGAACGGCAGCAATACCGACAAGACTGATTAAAAGAAAATAATCAATTTTTAAAATCGTGACTGGAATATATTGACATCAAACAATAAGAATTTGAGGATGGTATGTTCTATAATTGGTTTAGTTTAGTCATTGATAACTCAAGACGATATGAAAACTGCCTCAAACGATGTGACAATTTTAACTTAAAATTCAACCAACCTATGGAAGAGAGCGACCATCTGAGGTAAGTTTGTGACTTCAATTTTAGACGCCGCAATACCACCAACAGATCCACCAATGAGGAGACATCCAAGCATCTGAGTTAAAAGATCAGGATTGGGTTGGAGCATGCCAAGAGTGATAGCCAAACCGCTTGAAACGCCAGTCAAACCGAGGACATTTCCCAGTCGACTGGTCTTCTGACTAGCCAGAGCGGTAATCGCAGCAATGCAACAGAGAGAAGAAGCTAAATAGGCAGCATTATTAACATCAGACAAATCCATTATAGGTCCGTATTGCAGCAGACTGTATCCATAAGTGCCCAGTAGAGCAGAAGCGGGAATAGCGAATAGGTAGTTATACTCTGGTGCATCAGCTGAAATTTAAATATTACTAAAATGCTATTAGTAGGTGCGCATATACAACATTCAAGAGGTGTATACT